TCTCTTCACCGCCACAGAGGACCCTTTCTACCTCTCGCACCCCACTTCATCTCATTATTGCGTGGTGCGCACACACAAAACACACCTATAATATCCGGTTCCACCTCTGGAGAGAGCACATTAACCATGAAGTAAGGTGAAGCCGTGTTTGTGCGTGTGTGTGTGTGCGTGTGTGTGTTTGTATGTCCATACATCAGCTGCGCAGGCTTACGTGCATGTATGGGGAGATTAAAAGGAAATCGAAGCCTGTCGATGTGAGGACAGGCTGCTTTCAGCGCTACGTCCCCTCAGCATCAATTAACAGGTTGTGCAGTGACTGGCTCCTGTTTGGGGTGAAGCAGGCCAGCTGAGGGAGGTAAACACACCTCATCCCCAGGGCTTGCTCAAATCAGGAGGAGGGCAACAAGGTGCCACTGCCTTAACCACAGAAGCACGCCTGTGTATGGCCACTAACACGCTTTAACAGTAATTTCCTACCTTTTCCTCCAATTTCCTCGACCCCCGGGTCATGTACAGCACTGAGAAAAGTTTAGCTGTCTGCATCATTTTCTTTTCTGATATTACTCTAACCTGAGCGTTTGTGTGTTTGGGTTAACGTTAGACAGCTGATGGGAAGGTTACTTTGACCTCATACAACCACCAATTAAGATTAACCAAGATTACCAAGCAAAGAACATTTTAAAACTGAAACGTTTACATTTGTCCAAACAGTTCTCTCTGAGAAAATGTTTGTGCTGAGTACATTCACAGCAGGCTCTGCCAGTGCTTGCTTCTGAAAGTTTTGTGTTCACATAATGAATCTTATTAATTCTTTCTTCCAAAACAATATAACACCACAAACTGTGAGCTCATTTGGGATGGCTAACTTTAAAATGAGATGAAAAGCCATCTAGTAAAATAAAGAACAAAGGACTGGGCTGCTTGTTACATTCCTCCTTGACACCACTGCAAAGAAAGAGTGCATAAAGAAGAAGAAGAAAAGGGCAGTAGGCAAAGAGTGTGAGAGAGAAATTATTTTAAAATGGAGATAAGTGTGTTTCTGTGTTACTTTAGTCTGGATTTCTATGTTTAAGGTCTTTGCATATCCTTTATTTAAAGAGACAAACTAGTGCCACAAGCTAAGTGACAGACAGCCTTCTTTACGATCCCTCCCCTACACTGGGACCATTTAAGGCCCACATGTGTAAACTGAGTCACGAGCAAACAGTTAACTGGGTCAGCTCTAAACACAGGGCCAGGCATCCACAATGGTCTCTATGACAGTCCTCTTACTATAAAGAAAGGGTTAAAGCACACACTCACACACACACACACACACACAATTTCAATTTAGTTCTCTGAGAAATTCAACCAATAAAATTCACATTTTTGCAAGAGAAAATGAAACTGGATGTTCAAGATGTTGTTGGTAATAATGACGCCCTGAGAAACAGTGCAGCACTTGGCAATGGACACGTAATGGTTGTATGAAGTAATATATTAGTAGTACATAGAAGTAGTATTGTAAGAAGGAGTATATTTAAAACACTGGGACACTTCACTCAAGGTTTTATTCTTTCTGTACAATAATATCTGGGATATAAGGAAGAGCTGGCTGAAGTTGTTAGGAAACCTGCGGAAATAGGGCTGACATTTTTTTTTATTTTGTGGAAACGTTTTTGAATGAATTGGCTGACAATTTGAATGCAGCACAAGATCTCCTCAATATGTCTGTGGTATTAACAGAGTTTGCTTTGTGAGCCACTGATTTAATCAGCATTTCTGAACCAAGACTCACCCTGGTCAAGTCGATTGCTGCCAGGACTGATGTTAATATTTGATGCCTATTTGGTAAAGCACGCAGACAGCATGTCGGCCAACAGTGGCAGCACCAAAGTTGCCACTCGGGAGCTATCCTGGCAGTCCCCGTCTTCTGTTTGTGAAGAAAGCTATAACTTTAATTTCTCCTGAAGTTGTATTTTTGGCTTTTAGGCTTGTATTTGATAGTGACAGTATCAAACAGGAAACTGGTGAGAAGAGGCGGGTGGGTCTGGTCGCTTGGTGACTTTCTCCAAAAATATGTTTTAAAAGCCGTTTTCCCCTACAATTCATACTTCATAACAGCTTCATTAGTGTCATGTATTTTCTTGTGTAGATGTAAAGATTATGACTTATATTACATTTTAAACTGCTCGCAAAGTTCACTTGAGGAGGTAAAGTGGAGACCAGGGGTTGACTCATTGGTGGAACCATTACTTTTAATTTTGTTTCATTGTTAAATTTTTGTTCGGCTTTCAAGCATTGTGAAATTTGGTGTCCACTTCCTGCTTGAGTAGCTTTATGTAACAAAACGAAATGCAAGACTGGGCAATATGGGAAAAATCTTTTTATGACAATTTTTTTCACATCAGTCAATAGTAATATATATCTCAATATACATCAAGTCATTATTTCATTCATATGAGATGAAAGTAGCCTAGTGACATCACTCCGAGATTAGTGACACCTTTTTATCAAGCCTCAAGCTGAACGTTTCCACCCTCACCCTTCATGGTGTTTTTGTTTTGAAATCAGCTAATTTAACGTGGAAATGTATGATTTTTTCCCCCAATGGGTTTACAGTTTTGTTTTTTAAAGCACATATTCTGTCAATTCACAAATATGATCCATTTTATACTTACAGGACATCCTTTGCAATGACCTATAATTTTACACATTTATTTCTTACAATTTCTGCCAAAATTGTAGTGCACACAGATGTCTTTCTTTTACTACAGCGTCATTTCTTTATATTGCATAAAAACTAAGATGTAATCTTAAAATTGATCTTGTTTTTAAATATATCAAGAATTTAATCGGTAGTGAAGCTTATTTACACTGACAGAAAGGGGAGTTTCACTGGTTCAGGACACTTAAGATCTATGTGGGCTGGACAATGTAGCCCACAAAGTAAATGAGTTTGGCATCCCTGTTCTTTACCTTAGACTGTCACACTCTATTCCTTTAGCAGGTAAAGTGATCGTTAATTAAGCTGTGCAACACAGCATTTCCCATAAACCATATAACTTACTGTCACAAGGAGGATGTCAGTATATTTATTGCAGTCGAACAGATTTCATACTAAGCATGACACTGCATAAAATGACACAAAGGTTGCCTGTTTACTCTGCAGCAGTCTGGTTTATTTTATCAAACACTGTTTGACATTCATGTGGAGATCAGTCAGGGTTACATATATACAAACAGGACTTTTATAAAGGAAGACTAACATGATCAATCTGTGTCTTTATTTCAAAGCTCACAACCACTACACAACAAAGGATGGCCTTTATGAGTCTCGCTGGACACACCCACATTACAAAAGGTGCCATAATTTATTCTTATTAGTCATATTGCATTTGTGTATACACATTACATTTCGCCCAGCCACTCTATACACACTTAAACACACGTACACAGGGTTGACATGCAGCGCGAGGTGCTATCAGGAGTGGAGTGATTAACCTGCCTAACAAACAGGCCTCTGTGCAGCCACCATTTCTCCACCCCTCACTTCACACAACCACACACACACACTGGCCTTTTTGACCTCCACTATCTCACTTATCAGTTGCCAGGCTGGCAACTCCTTCATCTGCAGTAAACCAACTGCAACGTTTATCAGCCCGGAGCAGCTTGTATTTAGAAAACAGGCAGTGTTCATATTTTCAGTGTGTATTATGTATATTGTATCTGTAATTCTGGTCAAATAAATCCAAACAGCCCAGATGTCAACCTCAGATAGGCCTACTGTTTTGAATATTTTCAGAGAGTTTCCAAGAGTCAGACATATTCGCCTACTGAGAAGCCAGAAAAAACAGGTCAGAGGGGAAAAAAATAGACAGCAGGAGCGTTCTAAAATTAGCCTGAAAAAGGTCAAGTGGTTGTGGAGCACACTTGACATAAGGGCGAACCTGAATTTAGCCAGTCATTCTGAAGGTCAGTCAGCACCATGGACAGAGATCCTGTCATCACAGCCTGACCTCTGGGGCCCCATCTCACCACAAACACCAGGAGAAAACACTGGAAAGGCTCAAAAGCTGCCAGACCCTCATTGTTTACTGTGCGTTTATGGGAGGAATGGACACAAGTACATCCTACTGATGATACAGCAAAAGGGTGGTCATAAGGCTTGAGTTAGGTATGTTTTTCAAACTTTAAAATGTAAAGTCATCCCTTTTTCTCATGACCTGAAAAGAAGCAACTCAGCACAAATTATTTCAAGAGTAAGCAACTTCCAATAGCTTTCTGTTCCTCATTTTACTTTAAAACAAAGAAGAAAAAAACAAGCTTTCAACTTGATGTCTCGTTACATGGTGTCAGCTTCTGTGACTATGTGCTGAATCACGCTTTAGTGTTACAGTAAATGGGATGAGCCGAGTCACTCTTACATATGCAATATCCCGCCATGGCTGTCCGGGTAAAGCGATATGTGACAGGGCAGTATAACAAAAGGCCAGGCTCTCCGTGTAAGCGAAGCCTTTGGTCTCTTTAAATCTAAATATAACCGCGTCTAAAGCTGATACCTAAAGCGCCTAGCTGCTGTTACATTCACTTACTCGTCTATGGCTCCGACATGGGTCCTGTCACATCACAAAGATTGTTATATGACTAAATAAATATATCAAATACACTGGAGCTTTTGTAGTAAAATTACCACGACACACGAATTGTAGAAAACAATTAAGCTAGGTGTGAAACTTTATATTAGCAGTTTGATTACTCAATACCAAAAAAGTCGTTGTGGGTTTGTACCAAATCACTGCCACAATAAAATAATAATAATAATAATAATAATAATAATAATAATAATAATAAGTTGCCGTGTTTCCCCGCCCCGTTCATATCGATATTTGAGAATGAACTTTCCCGCTGTATTTAGGGTGCTAATATTTCCCGTACCCCTCGAAGGCATCAGCTAACTTGTTAACCTTGTTCATTCATGAAAACTGAAACCTCGCGCGCTGGGCACGAGCGCTCACCTTGTTCAGGTGGGGGTTTCGCGTCACATCGTAGCCCCTCTTCTTGGTGTGAACGAAGTTCTTCCCCTTGTCCTCGGACCTGTGCATCTCCGTTTCCACTGACTCTCGTCTGACTAGTCCGTGTGCCATGTTGTTGTCGCTTTAAATAGAGCGAGCCCCGTGAACTGCTGTTTACTCAACAAGTGGATGCGCAGGTCCAGCCGCAGAGATCTGGTCTTCACGTCTGCCGCTCGGGGAATCTCTCAGCCCAACAAGAGCCAAAGTCTCTTTTATCAGTGTTTTATCGTAATTAACCGAAGGTCTCGTTATCTGCAAAGTGCCTCCGTGTTACCTGACCTGGCAACCGTTACCAGGTTACTTGAACAAAGTTACAGACTCTCATAAGAAGACATCATGTAATCCCTTATAATTGGCGTAGTGACACATCTTAAGACTATGTATAAAGGCGATATTAGGCTATTTAAGGAAAGACTGCAAGGTTATTAATGTAGCCATATAGTCATGCTAGCATTTCTTTATAAATCAGTAAAAAGGCTAGATATACCTCCCCTTTTGTAAAGAATACATTAGTCATAGAGTTCAGGCAAAACAGTTCATATAAGTAGTTATTATTTGCACGTGGTTTATATGATAAACGCACTTAATGCACTAGCCCATTGATAGCCGCATATATGTAAAACTCCTTACTTTTAGTTATTATGCTCAGTGTTTATGGAACAGTCTGCCCGACGACCAGAGGGCTGCTGAGATTGTTGAGATTTTTAATATCCATTAGGGGGGTTAGGCTGGTGGGGTGAAGAGAGGGTGTAGTGAAAGGAATTAAGCGAATAGCTGTATAAATAAAGTTTTGCTTGACTGAAGTAGTCACAGCAGTAGGCCCCTATTAGTAGGCCTTGTGGTAGCAATGCTTCTGCAACAATAAGTGTTGCACCGAGCAAATAGTTTCTCAGAAAAATACAGTCAGTTCATAAACTAGCATAAAATATTCAGTATAGATTTCAGACTGCCCAACAAGTCTCTGATGAGTTGTAGTATTTGTTACAAACACATAGCTAAGATCATTTTCCAGCACAGTGAGTCTGAGGCCCATGACAGCACAGACATTTGAAGCCAAGGTCAACCTCCAGCCTTGACACAGTCACAGAGTTATGTAACAGCAAGCACCAATGACGTCTGACAGTCAGGAATACACTGGCATTCCCGGAGTGAAAGCGAGGTTATTCAACCCTCACTCCATATGTCTGGTGTTTATGGTGTGACTGCTAACAAACCGGAGCAGACTTTACCCAGAACCGGATGATTTGTCCAGATCGATGAACTTTATTCTAGTAGGGATTTGGAAATTGGACCCATTTACACAAACACAACACATAAATTTTTGTTCCTTAACAAAAAAAGTTTTAAAGTTATATATATATATTTTTTTCACATGACTGCTAGTGCATGTGACTGAATGTTGAGGTGTTGCACAACTGAGGCTGGTTTTTATGGCACAGTGTTTCGCTCATGTTGCAGATCTAAAGACGATCAGACTGATAAAGTTATCTTAAAATGCCTGCAGAATGGAAAGTGAAAAACCTCAGGTGAGTATGAAGTGCAGGAGGAGACAACTCCTTGAGCCTTATGAACAGTACTGGTGTCTTGTATATTGGTGTAAGGTTTTAAAGACAAAAAAAGGATGTGCTTATAGTTATGGGATTATCTTATAGTTAACACTGCATTGCTTGCAGTCACTTTAAGCCCAGAAATATTGAGGATAGTAGTGCAGAATTAGTCTGAAATATAGATAAAGGCTATTTCCATGAATTTGAACTTTAAAATGCTGCATGCCCAGAGGTACATATGGATCAGCTAAGAATGATTTTTAATTACTTAATTACTTAAGTTAAAAGAACAAAATATTATTGCACCTTATTCAGCTGAAACAATTAAACAATTAAAGCTTGGACAGTTTAAACAGCTCAACAGCCTTTGTCTAAAGCAGGGGTGTCCAACTCCAGGCCTCAAGGACCAGTGTCCTGCAGGTTTTAGATATCACCCCGGGTCAGTACACCTGAATCAAATGACTAGTTCGACCTCTGGAGAACTTCAAGACATGTTGAGGAGGTAATTTAACCATTTAAATCAGCTGTGTTGGATCAAGGACATGTCTAAAACCTGCAGGACACCAGCCCTTGAGGCCTGGAGTTGGTCACCCCTGGTGTAGTGTATCCACTACCCCTCCTCTGTACATTTCTAGACTATCTCAGCCTTGTCTCTCAAACTTTGCCTCCAAAATGCCAACCCGAGCTGTCTCTCTGACGTACTAGTTTCTAATTCTGTCTTTCCTGGTTGCTCTGGCTGAAAATCTTAACATCTTCAGCTACTGTCACCAAACCATGCATGAAAGCAGGTGTCACAAACCTTCCCTTTCACTAATGCTGCTGTCATTCTGTCACAAATCATCCCTGACACTCGTTTCCAACCTCTCCACCGTGCCTGCACTCTCTTCTTCACCTCTCTTGTGCACTCTCCGTTACCTTGGACTGTTGATCCCACATATTTAAAGTCATCCATCTTCGCGAACTACTCCTTGCTTCTTCACCTTTCCACCTGTCTCCCTCTCATTCATACACATGCATTCTCTCTCACTTCAACTGACTTTCATTCTTCTTCTCTGTAGAGCATACAACCACGTCTCCGGTCTCTATTCCACCACTGTTCTCATACATGTCCTGCACTACCCTCCCATATTTCTCTGCGACTCCTGACTTCATCGTGCAGTGCCACAGATCCTCTCTTAGCACGCTATCATATGCTTTCTCTATGTCCAAAGTGAAGCTCCTTCAGACCTTCCATATATTTCTGCATCAACACACAACTGTAGTGCTCTTTCTCCACATGAACCCATACTGCTGCTCATCTCACCTTCTGAACCGAGCTTCAACAACTCTTTCCCATGGCTTCATGTCATGGCTCATCAACTTGATCCCTCTGTAGTTACTTCAGCTCTGCACATCACCCTTGTTCCCTGTTCCTTATTTGGAATAGGTTTATTTAATATGACTTATATAACCATTTTCCCCCATAATAACTTAATATACTTTATTATGGAAAATGGTTTTCCTGCCTTCTAGTCTGTAATGAATCACAAATTGAGTGAACTTTACCAGATCTGCACTGTAACGTGAGAAAAGTTAGTTTTCTTTTTTGAAGATGCATTTTTGGCATTTGGCTGAAAGAGGCTGGGGAGAATGACTTGCAGGAAATGGTTTGGGACACACTCAGACCCAGGCCCCTGCAGCACCCAATAATATATCCCAGCAAGGTTAGTTTTTAACTTAAATGATAGGTACAGTGGATGTACCTGCACATCTGATTTGGCACAGATTTTACACCAGATGCCCTGGTCATTTAAGGCTCTAATGTCAACTTAAGATAATGGAAACTGAAAATTTTGTAGTGCTTTATAACCCCCGAAATGTTTGTCTGCAGTATCCCAAGAATACCTGGGTATAGTGGTAAAAACTATTGGCTTTCTGCTACATGTTCCTCTCATCAGTTGAGTCACATGGTAATTAATCTTAAATCAGTTTCAGCTGCACTCAAAATATGTTCATGATCAGCCTACTGGGGTTCACCTGAGGTCACACAGTGTTGCACAGTGTGTTGCAGGCAGTGTTTTCATCAAATCAATGTCAACTATAAACTTGGACAAACCTGGCTGAGCTCTGTGACACCATGCATTTGTATTTCTCTGTCATTCCATCATTAATTAAGTACTGATAATGAAACACGCCAAAGAGTTCGAAGAAAAAACTTAACAGAAAGAGTTTAATGAATAGATGCTCAATTAGGACTGTAGGTGTGGCGGATCACACAAATCAGCTTGCATAATGCCACCATCCGTCATCACATTTTAATTTAAATTGCTCCTGTTTGTGTATGATTCCATCACTTGTAGTAAGATATTAATGAAGACAAGATTTTGCGTCATGAGTATTCGAAGACAAATAAGATTCCAGAGGATATAAAATGACCTTTTAAAAAGTGTCTTTGAGTTCAGGTTTGAACTTGATACTGATAAAACAGAAATATTATTTTTGGCTAAATATAGAAATGCAGAAAAATCAGCTGTGCAGATGTTGAAAAACCAAAACTGGCGTCATGTCTGTCACACGGGTCAGCGCTTGATATTGATCAGTGTCTGCAGCCAAAGTGTTTCCAAACTGACAAAAACCTCCTTTTTTAAAAATCAGACTTACACTCTGTGTTTGAGGAGCTAATCTGTTTAGCAAACATCTGCCGTCTGTTTCTGTATCTGGCTGGAAGTTATTTTGGAGGGTCAGGCAGGATGCCAGTTGGCAGTGTGAGGCATGAGGAATGCATGAGAGAATATGGGCCGTACCAAGAGCCCACCCATTAAAGGTAATCGCAGTGCTGGAACACCTGGCTGGATGTGTTTATGAATAAACAGAGAAAGAAAGCCTACAATATATTTTTTTATAATCCAACATCAAAAAGAAATATGTGCTTGTTATGTGCTTTTACACTTTAGTTGTAAACATACACACACTGTAAATGCCTGTGCCAATTTCCTCTGTTTATTTCAGTTCTGCCACTTGTAATGGAAGTATATATAATAGCCCAACGTCCTAAAATTACCAGGCAACAAGCGTTAAGGAAGCCATGTGTGGATTAAAGGCTTTTTTTTTAAAGGGATTGTGTCACTATAGTGTACATCAGTTACACATAGTTAAAAAAAAATAGTGCCAGCCTCCCATTTCATAAAGAATTGTTGGTAGCAAGTTACAGATCCAGTTGTTGATTGAACACATAGACAGCATATAAAAGATAGATGTACTCACTGTTCTGTCACCCAGTGGTTGGCATGGTTCTGTTACAAAGTCTCAAACTGGGCATCTTGCTGTTTAGCTATGGTGCTGCCATTTTGCTGTTTTTTAAACTGGTCACAAAGAGTGAGAGACAGTGCTTGTTTATAGGGTCGCAACCTGTAGGGCCCTAAATCACGGCCTGTATTATCCTCCTTGATCCTACCAGGGAACACAACTTACAAACTCGTGTTGTATTAAGTAAGACTTTGCCACTAGTGAGTGGGGCCACTTAGACGTCTGTACAGTTCTTTTTGAAACCAGAGGACTCGCCCCCTGCTGGTCATTAGAGAGAATGCAAATTTATGGTACTTCCATGTCCGTTTTATATATACAGTCTGTGGTTCACTGTCCTGCCCCTGCTTGCAGGTATTATGAGTTATTAGAGCCAAATTTAATAGAGAGAAGACAAAAGGAAAAAAAAACAGAACTCAACAGACAA